CCGTCCCCTGTTGTTACAACGTCCTGCTTTAAACGTTGCGCACAATCTAGATCTAGAGGTCAATCATATCTCATACTCTCATACTTTTTGTAGCTGGGGGTTTCTTCTGAACAGTCTTGAAGTGTTTCTTCCAGTCTTTTTTCTGGGGGGGGGGGGGGGGGGGGGGGGGGGGTGCGGACACTGTTGAACGTTTATACTCTCTATATAAATTCTCCCCCCCCCCCCCCCCCCCCGAAGAGATGCCTGGAAGAAACTCTGCTTGAATGTTAAAACAAATGACCTATAAAAGTACATTTTAACAGAGTCAAACAAACACATATTTTTGGTGATTTTATTTTGTATGTCAAAGGCCCGCCCTTGAGCTGGAGAAAGTTCTAGAGAAAGCTGGATTGGAAGAGTTAACACACATTTGTCAAACACAAAACAAATATTGGCCCGGGATTGTGTTGACTGTGTACACCTCGTTCACAATACGCATGGCGCCTGCCCATTGTTATAATTAGTAACCTCAGTCAGGACGGGGGGTAGGGGGGGGATTAAGGTTTGTTGTTGTTTTCTGAACTGCCCGAAAGTCACGTGCCAGTGCGCCGCGGTCAGGAGAGGTGAGGGAAATTTTTACCTGGATATTTTAGAGGGGGGGGGGGAGAGATGTGGATAGATTATTGATAGATAGCATCGTGGGTTGAAACTTGGGACCCTTCAAATAAAATGTATAAAATTAAAATTTAATTAATAAAGACTTAGCATGGATTAAATTAACTGGTATACAACATAAGCAAGTGCATTATAGGACATCAAGGGGAGGAATAAAACATACAAAATTATGTTTATTGGGATACAACATATCAAGATAAATTAAATAATCCAATTAAATAATAGCATCATTTATTTTAAAACAAGACAAAGCGCAAATAGCACAAAATATGTTTGAAAGCTAATGTCAAAGAGTTTGTAAAAGAGAAATAGAAGGAAAAATTCATAAAAAAAAACGTTTTAATAACAAGCTTTTATGTACTAATGCACTAAAAAGTAGAAAATAAATTATACACTACTATTTAAATCACTATAAAGAAAAGCGTGGGTCACTTTAGTACCTATTTTATACCTTTACTAATATTCGAGAAGAGACCCACGCTTTTCTTTATAGTGATTTAAATAGTAGTGTATAATTTATTTTCTACTTTTTAGTGCATTAGTACATAAAAGCTTGTTATTAAAACGTTTTTTTTATGAATTTTTTTTCAGTACTTTACATGTTTTATTTACGATAGTGTTACATGACTAAAAACCATTGCGCGCCTACTGAACATCACGTTCAGTAGGCGCGCAATGGTTTTTGAACGCAGCCATTGAACGTGATGGCGCAGCTATTGAAGGTGATGACGCGTGTGGTGTGGTTGGCTAGACATGCCTACTAATTCGGTCCAAATTTTTATTAATTCATAAAAAATTAATTAGGCATCCAATTAAGTCAAATTTAGTTTCAGATTGCATTGTCTTCATGTCTTGACCCACGTGCCAACTGTGAATCGTATCGGTCAAGTAGAACTGTCCGAATTTTCACTCCAGCGTTTCGATCTAGACTGACGACTTACGACTTACGACTGACGACTGGCGACAGACAGAGGAAGTGAGTTAAATAAAAGCTTGTAAAAATACGTTTTAAATACAGGTGGCCTACATCGGATTGTGTTCAAAGAAAATTCATCATCTTATTTCACCGCAAGTTAAATCTTACAAACCGATGTTTATTAAATAGAGTAGCCTATTTATTGTAGTGGCACCAAAATCGCATTGGTTACCCAATGCTTTTAATCGGCTCTAAACATTTATACCACCCCTCTGTCCAAGCTCCGAAGACACACTCCACTCCACCCTCATACATTTCTTCAAATTGGGGAATAAGTTTCCGGAGGGGGGGGGGGGTCTTTATAGAATATTTTCAAATGCTGATTTAATTTGGTAATTTTGTATCCTGAGCTCGACACTTTTAGCTTTTGACTATCAAACAAAGTATCAAGATATTTCCAAAGACGGGGTATTTCCTATCCTAGAGGGACCCTTGAGCCAGTCTTCAAGTCAAATCTAGCAAGTCATTCAATGTTATAATTTCTTAAAGTGTGTACCTTCCAATCTTCTGATGAAACAGATGAGTTCGCCCCTCAACACGTTCACAATAAATGTCACGTGCTTCGTCAGAGCTTGAACGATTATAAACAAGACGTTTGATTGGTCGCTACACGCTTGCTGTAATACCATTGTGTCATTTCGGCGTGAGATACTCTAGGAATGGTCGGAGTAACGGTCGGCAGTTCCAGATGACATTTCAACAGTTTTGTGGTGGTCCTTTGTGGGTAAGTGGGTGTGTATGTATGTATGTATGTATGTATGTGTGTCCCGCCGGGCTGTAACAGATAACAACATTAACACTGAGTTAGTTTTTGAACTTTATAGACCTAAATCTACTTGTTTTGATTTCCTACTTATCATAAAATGCACATTGATCTAGGTTTTATTAACATGCTAAGGTCCTCAAGCTTCAAAGTTAGGGGTTAAATATTCATCTCTCTTTTTGAAGACGTTTAGTCTGGGTGTTATTTTAATAAGTTCACTCCCCTTAATACGTATCATTTGCTATTTGTTCTAAAATAGTAAGTGGTTACCACAAGGGGTGTACAGTAGTTGAATACCCTAGCAAATCAACTTCAGCGTCTCTCCAGCCAACTGGTAATAATTCACCATGTTACATAAACGTTGTTATGGGTCCAAAGTTTTCAGAACACAAGTTAAATCTTTCAAAAGAAACTAAAGTAATTTAACACAGGCAACAATTGGCAACATGGTCTTGAGAAAGATTTCGAGTTGGAGCAGACAAAGGATCCAGTGAAAACCATAATAACACACAAAAAAGAGCTACCACTGGATGTCCCATTAGATACCTTTAGACGGATTAAGAAACCATTAGACAGATTACCATTATCTTGAGAATAGCCGCGAATGTTATGTGACCTAAGGGATGAGGTAAAGAAAAAGGCAACCACTGGAGAACGGTTGAAATATCTAGCTCTACACAGAGGTGCCTGAAAAATATATGCTTGGTAGCCTTGGTTCTATTCAGGGTTTCTTTCATGTATTTTTCACCAGGTGGGGTAGGGTGGGGTATTTGAAACTTCTGGAGAAGGCACACTTACCACTGTCACTGCCATGTCAGTCATGTCAGTCGCTGTCTGTTGTCACTGTCATGTCAGTCTTGTCAGTCGCTGTCTTTTGTCACTGTCACTGCCATTTCAGTCGTTGGCTGTTGTCACTGCCATGTCAGTCGCTGTCTGTTGTCACTGTCTTGTCAGTCTTGTCAGTCGCTGTCTTTTGTCACTGTCACTGCTATTTCAGTCGCTGGCTGTTGTCACTGCCATGTCAGTCGCTGGCTGTTGTCACTGCCATGTCAGTCGCTGTCTGTTGTCACTGTCTTGTCAGTCGCTGTCTGTTGTCACTGTCTTGTCAGTCGCTGTCTGTTGTCACTGCCATGTCAGTCGCTGTCTGTTGTCACTGCCATGTCAGTCGCTGTCTGTTGTCACTGTCATGTCAGTCGCTATCTGTTGTCACTGTCTTGTCAGTCGCTGTCTGTTGTCACTGTCTTGTCAGTCGCTGTCTGTTGTCACTCCCATGTCAGTCGCTGTCTGTTGTCACTGCCATGTCAGTCGCTGTCTGTTGTCACTGCCATGTCAGTCGCTGTCTGTTGTCACTGCCATGTCAGTCGCTGTCTGTTGTCACTGCCATGTCAGTCGCTGGCTGTTGTCACTGCCATGTCAGTCGCTGTCTGTTGTCACTGCCATGTCAGTCGCTGTCTGTTGTCACTGCCATGTCAGTCGCTGTCTGTTGTCACTGCCATGTCAGTCGCTGTCTGTTGTCACTGTCATGTCAGTCGCTGTCTGTTGTCACTGTCATGTCAGTCGCTGTCTGTTGTCACTGCCATGTCAGTCGTTGTCACTGTCAATGTCATGTCAGTCGCTGTCTTTTGTCTGCTGTCACTGTCATGTCAGTCACTGTCTGTTGTCACTGTCATGTCAGTCGATGTCTGTTGTCACTGTAATGTCAGTCTTGTCAGTCGCTGTCTTTTGTCACTGTCACTGTCATGTCAGTCGCTGTCTGTTGTCACTGTCATGTCAGTCGCTGTCTGTTGTGTCCCGTCAACAATTCTGTGAATGACATTCTCGAACGACAGACTGGCGCCGGCATACACGATTTCGTCCACTGGACACCCGACAGTAGGTAAGTGATAGATCGGGAATCAAGTAGTCGAGGGCCATTATATCGGGTGTCTGTCATTAGATCGGGAATCAAGTAGTCGAGGGCCATTATATCGGGTGTCTGTCATTAGATCGGGAATCAAGTAGTCGAGGGCCATTATATCGGGTGTCTGTCATTAGATCGGGAATCAAGTAGTCGAGGGCCATTATATCGGGTGTCTGTCATTAGATCGGGAATCAAGTAGTCGAGGGCCATTATATCGGGTGTCTGTCATTAGATCGGGAATCAAGTAGTCGAGGGCCATTATATCGGGTGTCTGTCATTAGATCGGGAATCAAGTAGTCGAGGGCCATTATATCGGGTGTCTGTCATTAGATCGGGAATCAAGTAGTCGAGGGCCATTATATCGGGTGTCTGTCATTAGATCGGGAATCAAGTAGTCGAGGGCCATTATATCGGGTGTCTGTCATTAGATCGGGAATCAAGTAGTCGAGGGCCATTATATCGGGTGTCTGTCATTAGATCGGGAATCAAGTAGTCGAGGGCCATTATATCGGGTGTCTGTCATTAGATCGGGAATCAAGTAGTCGAGGGCCATTATATCGGGTGTCTGTCATTAGATCGGGAATCAAGTAGTCGAGGGCCATTATATCGGGTGTCTGTCATTAGATCGGGAATCAAGTAGTCGAGGGCCATTATATCGGGTGTCTGTCATTAGATCGGGAATCAAGTAGTCGAGGGCCATTATATCGGGTGTCTGTCATTAGATCGGGAATCAAGTAGTCGAGGGCCATTATATCGGGTGTCTGTCATTAGATCGGGAATCAAGTAGTCGAGGGCCATTATATCGGGTGTCTGTCATTAGATCGGGAATCAAGTAGTCGAGGGCCATTATATCGGGTGTCTGTCATTAGATCGGGAATCAAGTAGTCGAGGGCCATTATATCGGGTGTCTGTCATTAGATCGGGAATCAAGTAGTCGAGGGCCATTATATCGGGTGTCTGTCATTAGATCGGGAATCAAGTAGTCGAGGGCCATTATATCGGGTGTCTGTCATTAGATCGGGAATCAAGTAGTCGAGGGCCATTATATCGGGTGTCTGTCATTAGATCGGGAATCAAGTAGTCGAGGGCCATTATATCGGGTGTCTGTCATTAGATCGGGAATCAAGTAGTCGAGGGCCATTATATCGGGTGTCTGTCATTAGATCGGGAATCAAGTAGTCGAGGGCCATTATATCGGGTGTCTGTCATTAGATCGGGAATCAAGTAGTCGAGGGCCATTATATCGGGTGTCTGTCATTAGATCGGGAATCAAGTAGTCGAGGGCCATTATATCGGGTGTCTGTCATTAGATCGGGAATCAAGTAGTCGAGGGCCATTATATCGGGTGTCTGTCATTAGATCGGGAATCAAGTAGTCGAGGGCCATTATATCGGGTGTCTGTCATTAGATCGGGAATCAAGTAGTCGAGGGCCATTATATCGGGTGTCTGTCATTAGATCGGGAATCAAGTAGTCGAGGGCCATTATATCGGGTGTCTGTCATTAGATCGGGAATCAAGTAGTCGAGGGCCATTATATCGGGTGTCTGTCATTAGATCGGGAATCAAGTAGTCGAGGGCCATTATATCGGGTGTCTGTCATTAGATCGGGAATCAAGTAGTCGAGGGCCATTATATCGGGTGTCTGTCATTAGATCGGGAATCAAGTAGTCGAGGGCCATTATATCGGGTGTCTGTCATTAGATCGGGAATCAAGTAGTCGAGGGCCATTATATCGGGTGTCTGTCATTAGATCGGGAATCAAGTAGTCGAGGGCCATTATATCGGGTGTCTGTCATTAGATCGGGAATCAAGTAGTCGAGGGCCATTATATCGGGTGTCTGTCATTAGATCGGGAATCAAGTAGTCGATGGCCATTATATCGGGTGTCTGTCATTAGATCGGGAATCAAGTAGTCGAGGGCCATTATATCGGGTGTCTGTCATTAGATCGGGAATCAAGTAGTCGAGGGCCATTATATCGGGTGTCTGTCATTAGATCGGGAATCAAGTAGTCGAGGGCCATTATATCGGGTGTCTGTCATTAGATCGGGAATCAAGTAGTCGAGGGCCATTATATCGGGTGTCTGTCATTAGATCGGGAATCAAGTAGTCGAGGGCCATTATATCGGGTGTCTGTCATTAGATCGGGAATCAAGTAGTCGAGGGCCATTATATCGGGTGTCTGTCATTAGATCGGGAATCAAGTAGTCGAGGGCCATTATATCGGGTGTCTGTCATTAGATCGGGAATCAAGTAGTCGAGGGCCATTATATCGGGTGTCTGTCATTAGATCGGGAATCAAGTAGTCGAGGGCCATTATATCGGGTGTCTGTCATTAGATCGGGAATCAAGTAGTCGAGGGCCATTATATCGGGTGTCTGTCATTAGATCGGGAATCAAGTAGTCGAGGGCCATTATATCGGGTGTCTGTCATTAGATCGGGAATCAAGTAGTCGAGGGCCATTATATCGGGTGTCTGTCATTAGATCGGGAATCAAGTAGTCGAGGGCCATTATATCGGGTGTCTGTCATTAGATCGGGAATCAAGTAGTCGAGGGCCATTATATCGGGTGTCTGTCATTAGATCGGGAATCAAGTAGTCGAGGGCCATTATATCGGGTGTCTGTCATTAGATCGGGAATCAAGTAGTCGAGGGCCATTATATCGGGTGTCTGTCATTAGATCGGGAATCAAGTAGTCGAGGGCCATTATATCGGGTGTCTGTCATTAGATCGGGAATCAAGTAGTCGAGGGCCATTATATCGGGTGTCTGTCATTAGATCGGGAATCAAGTAGTCGAGGGCCATTATATCGGGTGTCTGTCATTAGATCGGGAATCAAGTAGTCGAGGGCCATTATATCGGGTGTCTGTCATTAGATCGGGAATCAAGTAGTCGATGGCCATTATATCGGGTGTCTGTCATTAGATCGGGAATCAAGTAGTCGAGGGCCATTATATCGGGTGTCTGTCATTAGATCGGGAATCAAGTAGTCGAGGGCCATTATATCGGGTGTCTGTCATTAGATCGGGAATCAAGTAGTCGAGGGCCATTATATCGGGTGTCTGTCATTAGATCGGGAATCAAGTAGTCGAGGGCCATTATATCGGGTGTCTGTCATTAGATCGGGAATCAAGTAGTCGAGGGCCATTATATCGGGTGTCTGTCATAATCCGCACGTTTGGTAACAAATCAGATGCAGAAGCTGCATAAAGGTAACCCGAGCTGCTAATCCTATCGGATACCAGACCCCACTATTGATTTTACTCTCGAGGTTCTCTCCTGAAGCCTTACAATAGCAAGGCAGCTGAGTTTCTTCTCAGTGTCTACCCCCCCCCCCCGAACGAAATAGAATTTGTATAGAAAATATATACTTTCACCAGTGTCCGCCCCTCTCCCCCCCCCCCCCCCCCCCGCCACCGTGGAGAAAAAAAAGCCTGTTTGAAACACTGCAAGGCAGTGAGGATTTAGTTCAGACTGACACTCTGCTAGTTGAGTTGAGCCAAATCTGCCCAGAGCTCCCGGATTTTGACGCTAGATATTAGCCATTACCACTTCAAAGCAGTTTTACCGGACTTAGAACATAAGCCCGACAAGCAAGCCAAGTGGACTTAGTTTTCAGTACAAACGGAAAATCGCGCTAAAGAAAACTGCGCAACGGAAACCTGCGCAAACAGAAAAATGCGCAAATTCAAATACTAATACGCGTTACGTTTTTTCATATTTCGTGGAAAAATGTTTTATTATGCTACTATGTACATGTGGTCATTTTTTGTTAATGCTTATAAATAGGCCTACTCGAGTTAAGAACACAAAAATGACTTTTCGCACTTTTTTTTTGTGCGGATTTTTCCGGTCACCATTTTAGACGCATGTCATTCAGGATTATTTATAGACAGTGGGAGCTTATCCCCACTGACACCCCCGGCCAGTGTTTCTTCCAGACTTTTTTCTCCGGGGGGGGGGGGGGCACTTGAAATTTTCGGGGAGGCGGTAGACTTTCTTCGGGGGGGGGGGGGGCGGACACTGTTAAAAGTATATATTTTCTATATAAATTATATAAATTTCATTTCGTTCGGGGGGGGGGGGGGGGGAGGGCGGTAAAAAAATTTCGGGGGAGGGGAGCTTCGCCCTCCCGAAGAGATGCCTGGAAGAAACTCTGCCCCCGGCTATAAACCAAAATTGTTAAATTGTAACAACACTGTAGATCTAAATGCTGCTAACAAAAACTCATAGATTTATATTGAGTGAGATTTTTGTAATACTTTTTTTTTTGGCCAAGGTTATTGTAATTTGTTAGTTTAGAAAGGATGTAATCCTTAAATTTTTAAATCTGTTACTTTTCAATAGAACAATACCGAGTTAGTGACGTCATCATGGCCCAAGCTAACAGACTGTTTCAGGGTGACCGTCCTTGTCTGGATTCCATGCGGGATTGTCTTTCTATTTGGGCCACTTTACATCATCGGATTACGCAATGGTCCGCCTACCAAGGCCCTACCCATAAGGCATTTAAATGCTGGGAAACTGGTATGTTAATTCTATTTCATTTTTTTCGTTTATTATTTGTTTTTTAATTTAAAAAATGTAATTATTAGCTGAATTCTGAATTTTATACCTCATTGTTCGAAACATTATTAGACTGATAATCATTTCTAGAGCTATTGCGTGTATTGCCAGAGTCGTAGAGACCCATTCCGGTGCTCGGGCGAACTATCAATGTTGCGCCCCCTATTTAAACTTTGTTATTCACACTGGCGAAAATTAAACTTTGCAGAATTAGTTTTTTTTTTTCCTTACCCTATTTGGCGCCCCCATTGGATCGGCCGACCTCCCCTAGCTACGCCTCTGTGTGTTGCCAGACACCCCCCCCCCCTTTTCCACCGCGCTATAGTCACACACACACACACACATCAGTTTCTCCGTAACCGGTTGTCTTTTATACTTCAGCCTCCCCCCTTATTCTTAATTTTTATTTCGTAAACAAGTGTGCCTACTTTCTTTTTCGTTATTTTGAGCTTGGTCAAAATTGATATAGGCCTGTTTATATAATTAATAAAATTCAAATTATTTAAATACTCCAGCATGACGTCACATTTTCTTAGCTCCCACCCCCATCACACATCGTCGTCTACTAACCCTAGTGTGACATCATTGAGTTCTTATCCCGTCCTCCCGAGGGATAAAACTTTCAAATATAGTTTTATTATAGTTTGTTTTTGTTTTTTTGGTCAATATAGATCTAGATGCAATAAATGTTTAATGTTTTCGGCTGCAGTTTTGTCCGTCAACCATGGCCATTCTGACATTGATAGCTGCACTCCAGAAGTTAAGTTTACACAAAGATGGCGCCGACATGCCACCTGCTCATTATGTAGCTGACGCCATTCAGTTCATCACATATGTAAGTTCAAACAAGGGTAGTTATTATACCAACCTTGCACAGAGTTACAACTAGGCTACTAGTAGAGTTCTATGCCATGCAGTAGGCCTAGAAAGAGTTGGTTATGCCAACATGGTATCTTTACACTTTTGAACATAAAGAATACAACGGCATGAGACAGCCGGGTATACACAGAATGTTCTGGATTCTATCCACAGATTCCATATTTTAACCAAATCATTGTTTAATTTAAAGACCTAAATCTTTTTGTGTTAATGCTTTTTGAACAATGTAATGCTAGAGCTAAAAGGCTAAAATGTAAAAATGGTCAAAGAAAGTACGAAACCAAAATTTATCATTTTAAAAAGGGAAAACATCCAGTTATTAAAATATTTTTTAAAGGAATTTAATAGAAAACTTGTTTCCAATGGCCAGATAACAGTTGCCTTTTTTAGCCAATATGAAAGAAAGTATGGCGTCACGGCTTCAAGGCTACAGCTGGCGTTTTGGTTCTTCATGTCCTTGTCTTTACTTGTGTCTGCGTACACCAAAATTATACAGCAGGTTTGTATTTAACAACAGCATGTGTAGGCTTCGTGTTAATTTACAAAACGTTTCTGTTTAGTCAATTGATGTTAATTCAAATTTATGTAATTATAGAACCATGTTTGTGTAGAGAATGTTCAATATGGTATTGAAATTGTTTTGGTATTCGGCATTATTAAATTAAAAAAAAAAAAAACATGTCAGATAATTTATTATTAAAGAATGGAAGAATGCAAAACAAAATTTAGTATATGTTACATTTTGTTAAGTATTGTATGAGATTAAAATGTTGAATGTTTTCTGTGAACATCTTTGTCAGGATTACATAGAAGACTTTATTGGATTTATGATCTTCATGATCAACTATGCTCTGTGTTTGATATGCTTCTGTTTGAGTTGCTGGTCAGAATATCCTGGACCTAATTATTTTGGAACAGATCAGTCCCACAAATCAACAGGCAGGGTAAGAGTTATGAGAAGTTTCCAATTTATAAATTTAATTAATGTGGTTAGATCACTTTTAGGTTCAAAATATTTCTTATATATATAATGTACATTTTAAAACTTTTAAATCTTTTTGTTTAAATATCTTCGGTTAAATATTGCCCAACTTAGATTATATTACAAAGTAGAAAAAAATTTAAATTGTTAAAAATAAAGGGCATGCATAAAGAACTTAACATTAACTCAAACTTGACTGGAAAAGCTATAATAAAAATTTAAAGTTAGAAATTTATTTGTGCGGGTCTTCTCTTTATAAAATGAAACGAAGCATTGTACATTCAGTGCTGACATGACATTGAATATTGATACTTATTTCAGGCAGAATGTCCAGTGATCAAGGCCTCTGCTCTATCACTTACTTTCTTCTGCTGGATATTCAAGTAATTTTGTTTTATTTATTTATAATTTCATGTTTTCACTAGACTTCACTCTTCTACTAAATTTGCATAATCTGGACTCTTCATTATAAGCTCAATTTTGGCTTTTGAAAATAAATATTTAATATATAAACCAGTCAATTATTTTCAAGATCTGATTTATTGAGCTTTCAAATTTTAGAAGTAAAATAAACCTAAGAATCTAAAATAGTCTAGAAATTTGTTCCTATTAATTATAACACCAGGCTACTCCGCACTGGTTACAAGAGGGATATTGAAGAATCTGACCTCTGGTCACTTCCGCCAGACATGATATGTGACAGCCACTTCCCTAAATTTGAAAAGTTGTGGAAACAAGAGGTTCACAGGTGTCGCAGGTATGGGTATATTCCAAGTATTTCTACTAATATCATTCTGTCAATATTGCGGTTTCAGTAATGATGCCTGCTTCCAACCACTCTATATGGGTAATTAGCAGGGTTCTTTCAGACTTTTTCTCCTGGGTAGACACTGGTTCAAGTATGAATTTTTTTTAACTATACATTTTTTCTATTTGCCCCTAGTTGGAAAAACTGATAATTAACCATGACTGATGACTTTTAGCATAAAATCATCGTTTATAAGATTTCCATTTATTTAGTAAAATGGCAACTCAAAGAAAATATTACAACATTTCAAGTTGATCTTTACTTTAGTTCTTCCTCGGTGTAAAATAAATGTTGCAACTCTTGTTGTGTTGAGTACTAGTTGATAGTGGATGTGTTTCAGCACTCAACATTCTATTGTTATACATTGTGGTGTTTTTGATATTCTCTTTTTTTTTCTTTAAATATCTCTCTGCTAGTAAGATGAAGTCAAAGAAAAAAAAATTACACAGTGGAGCCAGAAATGGTCAGGCCCACTATTCCAAGTTCTCCAGCAATGAACAAACGAGGTTTTCTGATTATTTGCAGGTAGATCTATTCACTTATAAAATTACAATTTATCAGTTTCTTCAAGCCTGCAAAAAAAAATCTATCCTTGTTCAAACTTTCTCTTGAAAATGAAACATTTTTTTGTCAGGGCCCCACAACTTTGTATACACAACTTCTGGATCAAACCAAAAATGAAAAGGATGAGAAAGGGCCGGAGCCGTCGCTCATGCGGGTGCTCTGGAAACAGTACTGGTTTATGGTGCTAGAGTTTACATGGACGAAAATATTCTCAGATATAGCAGTCATGTGTGGCCCCCTGCTACTGAAGTGAGTCAGTTGTTGGGTATTGTATTCGATATTAGATTATTAGTATTAGATTAAATTATAGTTTTTGGTCAGACGTTTGCTGTGTGTGGTTGTGTAAATAGTTATGTCAGTTGTTGGCTGTGTGTGGTTGTGTAAATAGCTATATCAGTTGTTGACCATCTGCAGATATGTGATTAGCTATGTCAGTTGTTGGCTGTGTGTGGTTGTGTAAATAGCTGTCAGTTGTTGGCTGTGTGTGGTTGTGTAAATAGCTATATCAGTTGTTGGCTGTGTGTGGTTGTGTAAATAGCTATATCAGTTGATGACCATCTGCAGGTGTGTGATTAGCTATGTCAGTTGTTGGCTGTGTGTTTACTAGATGAGAAGTAATTTATTAGCCAATGTGTGTTGGTGCAGTTTCTTCCAGGCATTTCTTTGGGGGAGGGGGGGATTTGACCCCCCCCCCCCCCCCGAAAAAATTCTACCCCCCCCCCCCCCCCCCAACTAAGTGAAATTTATATAGAAAATATATACTTTTAAGTGTGTGTCCCCCCCCTGAAGAAGGTCTACCCCCCCCCCCCCCCCCGCCGGAGAAAAAAGTCTGGAAGAAACACTGTGTTAGTGATATGCTTAAGAGTTACTGGTGTATCAGCTGTTAGTTGTATGTTGGCATTAAATTGAATAGAAATAGCTGAATGCTTCTTTCCTTGTTTAAAAGACACGCTGATAAATATATTACTAACTTTGTTGTATATTCATCTTTAATCCATTAACTGCTCTACACTTGTATAAACATGTGGATTTTGTTTCCCAGAATTCTTCTTGTGTACATGGCCAACAGACATCTGGGTAATGAATGGCAAGGCTACTGTATATGCATACTGATGTTGATTGTAGGGCAGTTACGTATTGCAATTTTCAATTACTCTATGTGGTCCAGCTACAGGCTTGGTATGATTGTCAAATCTGTGTTAATCACTGCTGTTTATAAGAAGGTAAAATAAAATACTGAGAAAATTGAGCTAATGTATTAACCTTGTTATTGCTGAGTGAATATGGAAAAGAAATGGGAAATAACACATATTAAAATATTAACAAATTAGGTTAAATGTGATAACAAATTAGCCTGGTTTTAAAACAAATGATAAGCTAAGCTTGTTACTAAGGTTAAAATATTAATCTCAATAAAATTATTCTGAAATCTGCATTGTTTCACATTTTGGTGATGTTGTGAAGATATGTTTGTTTTTTTAAGAATATGAACTGAAAAAGTTATTTTTTTATTTTGTTTATATATAACACTCAAACATTTAAAATTAACTTCACTTTTCATGTACACTTATTTTGCATGCAAAACTTTGGCACATTTCCATTCTAGGCAATGAGGATTAACAATGAATCAAAGAAAAAATCAACAGTGGGAGACATCGTCAACCTAATGTCTGTGGACGCCCAGAGGATCCAGGAGTTTTTGATCAAAGTCTCATTCTGTCACACAACCCCCCTGCAAGTTGTGGTTTCTTTGGCCATCATTTACTCAATCATTGGTCCTGCAGTCTTAGCTGGTGAGTTAACTTCTGCTAAACATTCCTGAACAAATTTAATTTATAACTCGCAGTAAAAAGTTATATTTTATTAGATAAACAAGATCAATAATTTTTATGTGAATAAAAAAATGTATAACTTGGTTTTTTTTAAATTATTACTGTGATAATAATATACTGTTTTTTTTAATAAGTTTTTTCCATTCATCTTAACTGTATTGAAATCTATAGGAACACTGGTCATTGTATTGTTTATGCCTCTGAGTGTTTGGATTGCATCCAAACAGAAAAGCCTTTTCAAAAAAAATCTGACATTCAAAGATACAAGGATTCGAATGATGAATGAAATCATCAATGGAATCAAGGTAAGGATTTTTATTTTATATTTATTTTAAATGTTAATATTCTTCATAATTAAACGTTAAAATTAAATATGTAATTTTATTATAAATTTATCTTTTTGTTTGTTTCTAGGCATTAAAGCTGTATGCTTGGGAATCTTCATTCCATAACCGTGTACAGGGTGTCAGGGCTTCTGAGATTGCCATGTTACTAAAAATAGCTGTGTTTTATGTTGTAACTGGTGTCTGTTGGAATCTAGCTGGATACCTGGTTTGTGGGCATTATGTTAAAACAATTGTTTTAGTTTCTGGAAGCACAGTCTTTTCATTAACTATTAAAATGAACATAGTATTTCAATTAAAAGTGTTAGTCTTAGTGTAAGGGATGTTTTGTTTTTTTTAACTTTTGTTACTTAAGTAAATATTTTTGCTTTAGATGACCTTGTTGACTTTTGCCACCTACCTCTGGATTGACCCTGAAAACTTCCTGGATCCTGGAAAAGCTTTTATGACCTTGTCACTCTTCAACATACTGAGAACACCTTTGGACTTTATGGCATCAATCATATCCTTAGGTGCACAGGTTGGCATTTTCCAATTAATTTACATTTTATTATAGTCATATAACAAATGGAATTGTAGGCATTCCTATAAAAAGAACCAGGACATTTGGCTTTATTTATAGAGTGTGTTACATTATGCTAGAGATTATTGAGTTCTGATGGCTACCTGATTTGCACTAAGTTAAGCTTATGCAGCCTGCCATAGTGCTGACCACATTTCTGCATAATGAGATCACAAAAATATATTATATAACTACTTTAACTGCATTATGGCCTCTAAGGTCAATAACAGTGGAGTACTTACTGCATTGATCTAACTAATCCAACAAACCTTTATCCACAGGCATATGTGTCTGTCAAGAGAATAGGAAACTTTCTCCAGTACGATGAACTTAAAAATGATAATGTGATCATCATGTCTGAAGCAGGTTGGAGGTTGACCTTTATTTAAATTATTTTGTTTCTTGTACAAATGTAAATTTTACAGAAAACATTTGTCAAAATATTAATTAGAAAAATTCTGGAATATCACCTGTAAGAAAACATTGATTCTAGTGTGAGGTAACCTACAGGTTGGTCCATGTAATATCACATTGAGCCCAAATATTTAAAACTTTAACTAGTTTGTCCAACAACAAAATTTAAAAGCACAATTTCTGTAATATTGTTGTTTTTTAAAGAATTATTATGTATTCATCATTTTATGTTATGTTTTCTAATTATAGTTTGTTTGATTTTACTAATTAGAGCATATGGTAACATTTGAAAGAGCTGATCTAACTTGGGACAGCAACAACACACCAACATTAAAAAAGTAAGTTAAGTCTGCTTAGTTCATTAAATTATTTTTATTATATAAACTGTTCACCTAAGCCTCTGTACAATCTATTTTAGCATAAACCTGCACATACCTAAAGGCCATTTAGTGGCTGTGGTGGGACAAGTTGGGGCTGGTAAATCATCTTTGATCTCATCCATCATAGGAGATATGGAGAAAATAAGAGGAACAGTCACAAGGAGGGTTGGTAAATTTTAGTATATGTATATGCTAATGTAGTTTATAAATTTTTAAATTTAATTTTGTTTTTAGATATTCATAAGTGTACACAGCTTTTTAAATAATCATTTATTAGTATTATACCTTAATGTGTACAAGCTCACATTGCTAGCTCCATAAAATTTCTTTAAATACATTAAAAAATTATATTAAACATGAGTTTAATATAATAAATAGTTCTTATTTTAAAAAAAAAAGTCTGATTCCAGCCTATCGCTTTTATCCAATGATTAGGGGACAGTTGCGTATGTCCCACAGCAAGCCTGGATCCAGAACGCAACAGTGCGTGACAACATTACATTTGGCAAGAAGTTTCGAGATAGAAAGTATAAGGCGGTTGTGTCAGCGTGCGAACTGGAGAGAGACTTTGAGATCCTGACAGCTGGGGATCAAACAGAGATTGGGGAGAAGGTGAGAAGTTGTTTGAATTTGATATTTGTTCTTGGTAGGGCAAAGGCTATGGAAGCTAATCCAAAAACAAAAATAGGCTGAAATCTAAGTCAATGGCCTATATGGCACATAACATGTTTACTTAATTGTGTTTGAGGGAATATCTTCTAACACTAAAGTTAAGAATGCAGAAGACAAAGAAGTCAAAATGTGTAGAGAAAAGCATCATTATAATGTTGAAGATATATAAGAATTTAGTTAACGTTTGTTCAGTTTTTCGGTCTTGTATCTCAATAAGTATTCAACAATGAGATATTTTTTTCGAAAATAAAAACATCTGAAGATTTGTACAAGGTGATGATAAAATAATAAAATCCATAGTTCTTTGTTATCAAAGTTTAACAATAGTTTGACCAAATAGTTTGTTTCAATTATTTTTTCCAAAAAATGTTCATTTAATTGAAAGCATATGAACTTGAACAGGGCATCAATCTGTCAGGTGGACAGAAGCAGAGGGTGTCAGTGGCCAGGGCAGTGTATCAGGACTGTGACCTCTACCTTTTGGATGACCCTCTCAGTGCTGTTGACAGCCATGTGGGCAAGGCAATGTTTGACCAAGTCATCGGTCCAAGAGGTCTTCTGAAAAATAAGGTACCAACAACTTTTGTTTTGAGAATTTAGGAATTTTTTTAAAAACTGAGTAATTCAAAAGCACAAAATTTTATTTTATTGTAAATTGGAGCAAATCTATAAAACTATAAAAGCAGAAACATGAAAAAAATATAGCTGATTGTTTTGTTGTATAGTTTATAGATCAGTTGAAAAATTTAGTAGAAAATATTTAGTAAACAATTGGAATATAAAAGAACAATTTTAAAATTGACAAGAATTTAACAAGTTTCTCTAAACTTTATCTTTTAAAATTTAAAGACACGTGTGTTGGTCACACATGGAGTCCATTTTCTCCCACAAGTTGACTTGATTGTTGTGATGAGTGAAGGGCAGATAACTGAGGTTGGTTCCTATGAGAAGCTTCTGGCACATGATGGACCATTTGCCCAGTTCCTCAAGAATTACCTGACTCAGGAACAGCTGGATGGCAATGTGGGTGAGGAGGATCCAGAGAGTAAGTGCCTACAGTTTAAAAGATTGCTCACATAGCTATATCATAAATAAAGTATTAAAGCACTTTCTTTCATGATTGTAGGAAAAAAAGTCACAGGAAAAAAAAACACAGGAAAAAAAGTCACAGGAAAAAAAGTCACAGGAAAAAAAGTCACAGGAAAAAAAGTCACAGGAAAAAAAGTCAGGAAAAAAAGTCACAAATATATATTTGCATGGGATTTGTTAATACTTTTATGTATTAAATATTCAGAGAGTGCAAATTAACTTAAGATTAATTAAATGTAATGTAATGTGTGTAGGTTGTATACGTATAGTAATTTTTATAATTCATCTAAAAATATTTAGTATGAATTATGTAGATTGTAATTATGTTAAACATAATATTTATAGTATTTAATAGAATGTCCACGGTTTTCATCGTGTTTTTTTTTTTAAATTAAATTACCGTGAAATGGTAAGGTCATCTGAATTACTGCCCTCAACTCATCGCAACAATAGTTATGCTTAGTTCAACCCCTTTACTGCCCACATTTATCAGGCTCATTACATAACAAAACTTAGGATCAAAACAGAGAGCCGACAAGGTTCAAAGGCTGTCATTGACACAAAACGTCAACAACACAAAATATGTTCTGACAATGCCGACTGAGGAGAGGCAGACCATAGAATAGCCTACGGCAAAACCTATGCAAAACACAATGATGTGATTAAATTTCTTTTATAGTTAACTTTTCTACCGCGTATGTAACTAAATACGTAACAATAGTTAAGATTGTTGTGTAAATTATCTTAGAGTATTTTTACTTACAATTTTTATAAACCATAATACTTTTAACGTGTATAAATAATTTATGCTATCAAAAAATACAACCCACAAAAATAACATACAAAATTTTACAATTCTTAACAAATAAATCAAAAGATTTCTAAAAAGATTTGTGTGACTTTTTTTCCGTGACTTTTTTTCCTAGCAAAAACTGTGACTTTTTTTCTGTGTTTTTTTTTCCTGTGACTTTTTTTCCGTTTACCTTCTTTCATGTATCACCTTTGGTGGGGGGGGGGGGGAGGATTTCCAGTCAGTCTGTCGCCCCCCACTAAGAAAAATGTCTTAAATAAGCACTTTATTATAGGCTTTATAATATCAATCTTTTAAAATACTCAATCAGCAAACATCTACTCTAGATATACCACTAAATGTGTTGGCCACTAAAATGTTACTCTGGCCATAATGGTATAAGTGTTGGTCCTTAAAAAAATCAGTTTTGGTTCACTGTTTACATGATTCTCACATCCATCAATGTTTTTGTCCAAAGCCAAATAATTTTTGCCTCTATTTGGTTTTGGACAACAAAATGACTTACATGAATGATATGTGATTTTCTCCTCTGAAATATCAAGCTGTTGTTTCAGTTTCTGCCATCAAAGATAACATCTGGGGGAGGATTGAACTTTTGACCTCTGATGCTGCAACTTCTGGTGATGAAAGCAGAGCTCTTCGGAAAAGGTATAAACTCTATGCTACTGATCAATGGTTCCATAATTTCTACGTTGTCTTTTCTTCTTTATATTTTTATGTTGTCTCAGGATTTCAGTTAAAATGTAGCAGCTGTATTCTTTGGTTTTTATAAAATGTGTTGGAATAATGATAGAAACATAATTTAATTTATACTAATTTTTTTAAAATACATTGTTTTTTTTTTTTATTTTAACTTTGGTACATTATCTATTGTATTATTATTATTATTGACAACTGTTTCATACAACACAATTACTTTCCCTAATGTATCATTTCAATTACCTAACTGTAGTCTATTGACACTCTAACAAGTGGGCTATTTCATATTTTTCTTAATAAATTTAGTTTCATATTTTTGTGTTATCTTGTCAATTACTTCATCTATTTTGTATTAATGACAGAAGACTTGAAATGAGCCTGAATCACTCGCGGATGGAAGAAAGTGCAAGAGAAGATAAATTTATCCATAAAGAACAGGGAAAACTAATAACCACAGAGATTTTGTCTAAAGGAAGGGTAGGCCCTGTTCTAACTTTTTACTCATTTTTTGTAGCAAATGTATCCGAAGTTCACATTTCATTATTATTTAACAAGTTTGTATTGTTCTACATTGTCAGTACTCCACTTGCCCTATGGTTAAAAATGGAACTTTATTTACTTTTTTTTAATTGTCAGTATAAGCTATTTATCCTCATCTATACTTTAGTACTAAAGTTTACATAACTAGAATTGATTTGCTACTGTTCCCTATTGTTTCTTTCTATTATCCAATTATTCTTTGAGCAAAACATAAGCTATTAGCACAAATCTTATCAAGTATACAATTTGATCAAATTTAACCACTAGGTGGCACCACATGTATACTTGAGCTATGTCAAGGCAGCTGGAGTTGTACCAATCACCATAGCCGTTGTCTTATTCTGGTGCTTCCAAGGTATTAGTGTAGGCACCAACTACTGGTTAACCGGGTGGACAGAGGACTCAACGTTGGCCAACAGAACCAAACCTTTAACAGAACTGGCAGACATAAATAATCGTTACTTATTAATTTACACAATATTTGGAATCGGCCAAGGTGAGAACTGTATATTTAATTAATATCATTAACTCATATTCTCATATTTAATTTAACTTATTATTTACAAATATTAATGAATAGATTTGAAAATTAAAGGATTTTTATGTTCTGCATCAAGAACTATAAAAGTTTTTTTCTGTATAATTCTGGAGGTTTATTTATTAAATCTTTCTTACACTACAAATTGAACTTTCTGTCTTACACTCCAAATTGCACAATTTTGACAGCTCTGTTTTTGGTGGGCTACTTCTTGTTTATGAAATCTTTCTGTCTTACACTACAAATTGCACAATTTTGACAGCTCTGTTTTTGGTGGGCTACTACTACCTGTTCTGGACGAGGATGGTAATGGCAGGAAGAAACCTCCACTCACAGCTGACCTCCAGGTTGTTTAAAGCTCCGATGGCATTCTTTGATACAACCCCCATTGGTAGAATTTTAAATAGATGTTCTAGAGATATTGAAGTTGTAAGTGGTTTTTAATAGCCCTAAGCATATATATATATATTTATGAGACAATATTTCTAGTTAACATTCCTGATATATAGCTATATCTGAAAATTATGGAAATTTTCAATTTATTTTTTTAACAAATGAGTGGATATTCAATATTGTAACTTGTGAGAAAAGCCTCATCAATTGTCCTTTTTCCATTCCTGCTAACCTCTTAGAACTAATTTAACATTTTGCATAGAGCACCACCCCTCCCCTATATGATTTGAATTAATTTTTACAATTATTTTTCACAAATACTGCATGTTTAAACTTGTTTTCAGGTTGATAACTTTCTACCAATTATCTGTCGAGATTTTATGGGAACATTTGGCGTAAATTTTATGACTATAATAGTGATCATGGTGCAGACCCCCATCTTTGGAGCTGTACTTGTGCCAGTTATCATATTTTTCTTCTTTGTTCTGGTATGTTGATACAATTGGTATATAGATGAACCTTGAAATGTGTTTTATTAGGATCAAATCAGTGCAGCTTTGATTTGTATTTAAATGGTTTTACTTTGGCGTCTTTCCATTTAGCCATAAACAGATAATTTTCTGTATTTCAGAGCTTTTACATCCCAACATCACGACAGCTGAGGAGGATAGAACACATCAAACGATCTCCAATTTATTCACACTTCAGGTGAAGATTTTCATGTTTTGTTGGCTTAACCAAAATTTGCTGTTCATATGCTTAACTTGAATATTTGCTGTTCATATGCTTAACTTGAATATTTGCATTTATGCTCAAGTTGAATATTTGCTGTTCTTATGCTCAAGTTGAATATTTGCTGTTCTTATGCTCAAGTTGAATATTTGCTGTTCTTTTGCTTAACTTAAATATTAGCTGCATCAAAATCTGGTGGATTTTTAGTACCCTGTAATCAACTTTGTCATTAGCATCTGAGACCCAAAAAAATAAAATATCTTATGTGTTAAGAATATCTAAGACTGAAATAGAATTATACGCCTTATATTTAAAGCCATGTAGGCTTACAATAGACAATAAAAATAAAGCTAAAACTAACTTTATAAAAGTTGAATCAAATCTTGTCCTGCACAGTGAATCTGTGACTGGAGCCTCAGTGATTAGAGCTTATGGCGTCTCTGATAGGTTTATCAGCCAGTCTAAGAACCTTGTGGATGAAAACACAATATTCTTCTATGCTGCCTCAATGGCACTAAGGTATTTTTAAGCTACTTTATTTCTTTAACTGCATTGTTTATTCGTAAACTGTAATCACTTTTTAACATTAAGTAGCTCTATAGACCTATACTTTGAGCACAAACTCTTTTAGGATTTATAGCACATAATTAATGATGAATAAGTTGAATTTTTTAACCAGATGTTGCCCAATTCAAACTAAGAGTACAAAACTATTACAGTCTTGTTTATTTATTTTAGATTATTCTTTAGTTTGCAACAAACAATTAGTAAAAAATATAATCAATTACTAAATTTATCGTTTCTTGTCTAATTATTATTTACATTTGTAGATGGTTGTCTGTCAACTTGGATACCATGGCCAATCTTGTCATTTTTGCATCTGGTATTTTTCAAATTCTCTCCCCTGATAACAGTGCAGGGGATGCTGGCCTTACAGTATCTTATGCTTTACAGGTAGGGGAGACAACTTATTTACATGCAGCAAATATTTCAGGAAAACTGTAGAGCAAGAAAATAAATTTTCTGTGTGCTTTATTACAAAATTTGAACATTTTATTCTGCACTAAGAGATAATTTACAACAAAATGTTAAGTCTATTAATACTTTTTAACTTTAAATATCTTGTAAGTAACAATAAAATAACAATCATTGTTCAAATATGCCCTATTGTTGTAAAATAGTTCTGGTATGTCAAACTAGAGACTTAACACACACAAAAAACTGGTAAAGGTAAATTAAAATGTACTTCTTTTTTTTTAGCAGCAAGTTTTTATAGCAATCAGTTAGTGATATTACGACCACCATTATAAATGATTGAAAATTTTCTAATTTAATGTTTTTCTTGATTGTAAAAATGTATTCTTCTTCTTCTTCGTTCTTAATTATTAGTGTTGAAGGTGATCGAGATTTATCTGCCAGCGGGTTTGAACTCGAGACTTTTTTCGAATTTATCAACCATGAGCTTTTTTTTTTTTTTGACGACTCGCCCACGCCTCCAACACAATTAAGCGTTACGTGTCAACTGGTTATGCGCCATTGAGGCCATTGACTCCGATTTTAGCCTGCTTTTCTTTTTGGATTTGCTTCCATAGCCTTTGTCCAACCAAGAACAAAATGTATTCAATTTTTAACAACCTCATTCACTAAATCAAGCTAGATGCTATAGTTTATGCAACTGTTGTGCGAATAGTGATTACAACTGGTTTAACATAACTGGTGTGGAGATAGTGTTTACAACTGTTTTAACATGATCATGTGACAGATCTCTGGAAGTTTGCCTTGGATGGTGAGGCAGCTCGCAGATTTTGAGACGAACATTGTGTCTGTGGAGAGACTGAAGGAGTACTCTGAGGTTGGCCAGGAGGTAGCTACATTACAGAATCTAGTAACAAAACTAAATTACAAAACCTATGCTTAATTATAAAATACATGCTAAAATTTTGTTTGACTTTTTTTTAAACCTAGGCCTACACCTAAGAAACTAATTTAAAAAAACTAGATTACAAAAAGTTTGATTAAAATAATTAAGTAATTAATTCATGATTTAAAAGTTTGAAATTTTTTTAGGCCGATTGGATAATACCATCCAAGCGTCCACATCCAACGTGGCCAGCTCATGGAGATGTTGAGTTTTGTAACTTCAGTGTAAGGTACAGGGATGGATTGGATATGGTCATCCACAGGATGAATGTTAAAATCCAGGGTGGAGAAAAGGTGACTACAACGTAATTGAAACAAGTCTTTAAAAAAATAATTTAAAACTTCTTTGCTTTTTGAAGTATAATTTAAATTAGCAAGATAGTTAAAATGCAGAAAATACTCTGATAATTGTATCATGATCATCTTTCTCTATAGCTTCTATTCCTAAATTAAAATAAAGAAAACTGTGCTTTGAGCTTTTTTAAAACCTTGGGTTGTTTCCCTTAGTAGTTTTATTCTTATAAGTTTTTTCTGTCTTAAATAATCATCTATTGGCCTGAATATATTGCACTAAATTAAATAACACATTAATATAATTAAATCCACTGACCATATCTCAATTCTCATTTATCTTCAAGTTTTTTTAAAGATTTTTTAAATTTATTTTTACTTAAAAACTAGGGGAAAGAACCCATTATAATTATGTGATCTGATTGAACTTTAAAAAACCAACAGGTTGGCATAGTTGGGCGTACTGGTGCAGGTAAATCCTCCCTGTCTCTCTCCCTGTTCCGTCTGATGGAGGCTGCAGGTGGGTGTATCATGATCGATGGCGTCAACATTGCTGAGCTGGGACTGCATGACCTGAGGTCAAGGCTGACCATTCTACCACAGGTGGGTTAGCATTCTACCCCAGGTAGGTTAGCATTCTACCACAGGTAGGTTACCATTCTACCACAGGTAGGTTAACATTCTACCACAGGTAGGTTACCATTCTACCACAGGTAGGTTACCATTCTACGACAGGTAGGTTACCATTCTACCACAGGTAGGTTAACATTTTACCACAGGTAGGTTAACATTCTACCACAGGTAGGTTACCATTCTACCACAGGTAGGTTACCATTCTACCACAGGTAGGTTACCATTCTACCACAGGTAGGTTACCATTCTACCACAGGTAGGTTACCATTCTACCACAGGTAGGTTACCATTTTACCACAGGTAGGTTACCATTCTACCACAGGTAGGTTACCATTCTACCACAGGTAGGTTACCATTTTACCACAGGTAGGTTAACATTCTACCACAGGTAGGTTACCATTCTACCACAGGTAGGTTACCATTTTACCACAGGTAGGTTACCATTTTACCACAGGTAGGTTACCATTCTACCACAGGTAGGTTACCATTCTACCACAGGTAGGTTACCATTCTACCACAGGTAGGTTACCATTCTACCACAGGTAGGTTAACATTCTACCACAGGTAGGTTAACATTCTACCACAGGTAGGTTAACATTCTACCACAGGTAGGTTAACATTCTACCACAGGTAGGTTAACATTCTACCACAGGTAGGTTAACATTCTACCACAGGTAGGTTAACATTCTACCACAGGTAGGTTAACATTCTACCACAGGTAGGTTAACATTCTACCAGAGGTCAAGGCTAACCATTCTATCCCAGGTAGGTTACCAGAGGTCAAGGCTAACCATTCTATCCCAGGTAGGTTACCAGAGGTCAAGGCTAACCATTCTATCCCAGGTAGGTTACCAGAGGTCAAGGCTAACCATTCTATCCCAGGTAGGTTACCAGAGGTCAAGGCTAACCATTCTATCCCAGGTAGGTTACCAGAGGTCAAGGCTAACCATTCTATCCCAGGTAGGTTACCAGAGGTCAAGGCTAACCATTCTATCCCAGGTAGGTTACCAGAGGTCAAGGCTAACCATTCTATCCCAGGTAGGTTACCAGAGGTCAAGGCTAACCATTCTATCCCAGGTAGGTTACCAGAGGTCAAGGCTAACCATTCTATCCCAGGTAGGTTACCAGAGGTCAAGGCTAACCATTCTATCCCAGGTAGGTTACCAGAGGTCAAGGCTAACCATTCTATCCCAGGTAGGTTACCAGAGGTCAAGGCTAACCATTCTATCCCAGGTAGGTTACCAGAGGTCAAGGCTAACCATTCTATCCCAGGTAGGTTACCAGAGGTCAAGGCTAACCATTCTATCCCAGGTAGGTTACCAGAGGTCAAGGCTAACCATTCTATCCCAGGTAGGTTACCAGAGGTCAAGGCTAACCATTCTATCCCAGGTAGGTTACCAGAGGTCAAGGCTAACCATTCTATCCCAGGTAGGTTACCAGAGGTCAAGGCTAACCATTCTATCCCAGGTAGGTTACCAGAGGTCAAGGCTAACCATTCTATCCCAGGTAGGTTACCAGAGGTCAAGGCTAACCATTCTATCCCAGGTAGGTTACCAGAGGTCAAGGCTAACCATTCTATCCCAGGTGTGTTTAACTACAACAAAAGCAGAGATTCTGTTGATATAGCCACCTGTAATCTCTTTATATTTAAAGTCAATAATTTTTGTATGCATATTTTTTGTAGTTTTCATTTAATTTTCTATTTTATAACTATCCACTTCATATTTCAGGATCCTGTTTTATTTTCTGGAACACTGCGCATGAACCTTGACCCTTTTGATGAATTTAACGATGAGGACATCTGGACTGCATTAGAAAGAGCACACCTCAAAGTGTTTGTTCATCAACTACCTGAAAAACTGATGTATGAATGTGGCGAAGAAGGACACAATTTAAGGTAACTGTGGTTTAAAGCTATAATTAATTAGATCTCAACAGTATTGAGAGTGTTGCAGTATTTTTACATTTAAAACAGTTTTTAATTACCATAACGTTTTTTTATTAATTTTAAGAGTAACCTACATTTTGTATCTATAAACTTAAAAAACAAAATTGAAATTGTTTCATTATTCTAAAATCTGATTTTTTATTTTTTTTATTGATCTTTGATACTATAGTGTTGGCCAGAGGCAGCTGGTTTGTCTTGCTAGAACTCTTCTAAGAAAAACAAAAATTCTTGTCCTTGATGAAGCAACAGCTGCCGTAGACATGCAGACAGACACACTGATACAAAACACTATTCGCTTTGCCTTCCAAAACTGCACCATCATTGCTATAGCCCATCGACTGAACACTATACTGGATTACGACAAGTAAGTTACTTAGACATTTGAGCAAATTCAGATAGGCAGTATTGCAGAGGCGTAGCGACCCTTCCCGGCGCCCGGGGACTTTTCAATTTGCACCCACCCCCTCGAGATTTCGATTTGCACACCCCCCCCCTCAAACTTTCGATTTGCACCCCCCCCCCTCAAACTTTCAATTTGCACCCCCCTCAACCTTTCATTTTATTTTTCCAACCCATTTTGGCGCCCCCTAAGGTCGGCGCCCGGGGACATATGTCCTCCTCCCCCCCCCCCCCGGCACCCCTCGCTACGCTACTGTAGTATTGATAGCTTTAGGGGTTGGCGTGGTCGAGTCGGTAAAGCTCATGGTTGCTAAACCGAAAAGTCTCGAGTTCGAACACCCCGGGCAGATGAGGCTCGTTAGCTGGGGACAGCCACTCTTCTAGGAGAGACAACTCCAAAATTAAACAACTGCTGCCTTGTAGTTTGTTCTTGGTTGGACAAAGGCTATGGAAGCAAATCCAAAAAGATAAGCAGGCTGAAATCGGAGTCAATGGCCTCAATGGCGCATAACCAGTTGACACGTAACGCTTAATTGTGTTGGAGGCGTGGTCAAGTCAGCAAAAAGCTCATGGTTGATAAATTCGAAAAAAGTCTCGAGTTCAAACCCACTGGCAGATAAATCTCGATCACCTTCAACACTAATAATTAAGAACGAAGAAGAAGAAGAAGATAGCTTTAATTTCCTCAATTTTTCAAATAAAATGTTAAATGTATTTCATTAAATTTATTTTATCAGTTAAGATTATTAATTATTTTAGACATTGTTTAAAAAATGTTTCACAAAAAATAATCGCAAATTATATAATAAATGCATTAGTTTTTTTTTACCATTGGTTATTTTTTCTTAAACTAGAATACAGAAAAATTTTAAAATGTCCATGATTTGTTATTTTTAACTTTATCATCAGAGTACTGGTCCTTGATTCTGGGTTGATTAAAGAATTTGATACCCCCAGCAAGCTGCTAGCTAACACTAAATCTGTCTTTCATTCCATGGCAGCTGATGCTAATTTAATCTAAAGATACAACTGTTTCTTTCATGAAATGGTTTTAAATTGAGCCTCTAATTCTACAGGCAGGATATTTTTTTGTAAGAGAAATGGCACAAAAAATTGTTTTATCATAAGTATTCAATGTGATAGAATTACATTAAAATATTTAAACATAAAATTTATCATCAATTTGTAAACAGAGTTAACCTTAAGCAGTTGCTACATCTAAATTGCTTTTCTACAAAGTACATTAGTCAATATTTAAGCTCATAGCTAAAGTTTTTGGTAATTTATAAAATATAATTTTCACTATTTCACCAACTAAAGCTTATTTTTTTCCCAACTTATTTGAAATTAATACAATTTTAACTTTCCCTAAATATAGTTTTCAGATAACTGACTTAATTTTTTGTTCAATAACTTCAGAAAGAATAACATATTAAATTTAAATTAATAAACTTTTATTTCTTACAAAATAAAAATGTTAAGCTGTTTCTGAAATTTTATTTTTTATGTAAGATTTTTGCATTGTTTGTTATCCACGTCTTTTATTTTACTATTTTTTACACAAAATAGTAATAGTAATTTAACATTAAATTATTTTCTTAATAATGATTTTTTATAATTTAAATGTTTTCTTTTACATTATAATTATAAACCATTATGCATATTAATTCCTTATGACTATGTTCACACGTGTTTTGTCATTGTATCAATGATGGCAAACTATGATTAAAATACTATCTATAATCCCAAACCTCATTTATTGTATGCTTATATAGCCTATATATCTAAACCAAACTGTTCATCACTAATGATGTAACTACTTTATACCTGACTAATTCGGCGACAATAATGTTTTTTTATTGTAAGCTTAAGTCCATGATTTCAAGTCATAATTGCGGTGGTCTGTTTAAAATCTGGCAACATGGGACAGTATTTGCTCACCACCATGTTATGTGTAAGGTAATTTTTGCAATGGTGCCATCCCCCCCCCCCCCCCCGAAGAAAGTCTAACGCCCCCCCCCCCCCATCGTAAATTTCAAGTGCCCCCCCCCCCCCCCCCCCGGAGAAAAAGAAAAAAGTCTGGAAGAAACACTGCATGGAACACCATCGCTGATCTGTCAACTCTTGTAGATTGAGGCTTGCATCTTGATTTTTGTGAAGTTCTACACACATCGTAGTGACTGACCGTGCTGTCATGTCTTGACATATCATATGACTTTCAAAATAGCGGGACTCGTGATGACTAATACGGGGTCGTCCGTTAACGTCTCACTCCTATGGGGATAACGTGCCGGTGGAATTTTGTGACGATGGGGAAGGGGAGACTAGAAAGTATGACAACTCTTGCATTTAAAAATAACGTTATATAATATATAGGCCTATAGAATGTTAGCCGTTATTTTGCGTTTATAATAGGAAGTTTTTAAATTGTAATGGAAATATATTCTCAGATAATAAATGCAAAAGAAAAATGTTATAATCCCCCCCCCCCTCCACATACCCTCAAAACGACAGTTGTCTCTAAGTAAGCTACAGCATTTGGCACCACAATTTTACAATTTTCAAATCATTATGAAATACATACATATATAGAGAGAGAAAGAGAAAAAAACTACCCACACACACACTTCCCCAAGACAAAATCCTGCTACACCACTGTATAGCACAAACCTAGCTAGCATGCAAAGTGCAATAAAAAAATAAGTTCAAATCCCGAATCAACATAAATGCAACGTTAAATGAAAAAAAAAGATATATGTGCACTACAGTTGCACGGTGTCATCTTTCGAGGTGACTATATCTGCGGTGCTGTCTGTTGTCATCTGTGGATAAAAAAAATTAATTGAATAAAAACAGTTCGCACGAAATTGCGCAACGGAAAAATGCGCAAAAATTGCGCAAATACATACTCGTTATACTAATACACTTTAATCTATCTATCTATATATATAATTCTCTTCTGGGAGCCGTTAGAAAACAAGCTGCAAGCGCGCCTTACAGTCCCCTCTCTTCCTCTCCATCGCTACCACCCCCACCCCCTCACATGGTCTGGTGAGCTGTGGTTCACGCGGTTTACATTTTACAATCACAGAGACGGGTTTGGTGACGGCTATTAGGGGCAGATAATTTAGATCTAGTTTAAAACTTTTTTTATACTTAGGGAAGTAACTAAGTGGAGGCTGCTTTCACGTGGGTGGGGGTGGGGGGTAAGGGTTGGTGGAAAGTAGGGTTTTAGTGTTTTAAAGCAAATATTTTCAGTGGCAGCATTGGTACTGTCGAATTCACAAATTATGAATTACTGAAAAGTAGAAGATATAACAACTAAATAGCGGCATATGATATGCCGCGGGTCGGCTCGTAGCAAATAATAACTTAAAGTTATATTTATACAACCTAAGGTGTAAGAATTTGAAAGAAATGTAAAGTTAAGCAACGAATTATCTCCCATTTAAATATCAAAAATTTTTAAAAATATCAAGGGAAATAACTTTCACAAGAATAGCTAAATTAACCAAGTGTAACTAAGACATGCTTGAAAAACACAATAAAAACCTTTTAATTTCATTACGAAATTATTATAACAACCCTTTTACATTAGCTATGTAGCCTTGTGAAAACAATATATTTTACATATTGAATACTTAACTGTAGGTTTTGATTAAAAGTCTAAAAACGGTAGCTTTATTACAACATACTTCTATTCGATTTTAATGGCATGCATGCATTTGTGGATCATATCTCTCATACTTGAGTTCAATTTTGGATCCCTTAAATAAAGGGACGTCGTTTAGAAAATCAAACACGGGTAACTGTTTTAGACATTGCTATAATTATTGATTAAAAATGTATTTAAAAAATTGAAATAGTAAATACATAAAAACGTTTATAATTACAAGCTTTTATAAATGCACTAAAAAGAAGGAAATAATACAATTTTTATTAAAAATAAAATAAATCTGCGGTTACTTTTTGTATAAAAAAATACTTTCTTTAAATATATTAATGCACTACTATTTATATCACTATAATCAAAAGCGTGGGCCGCTTGTTTAGTTATATATCTAGGGAATTTTTTTTTTAATTATGCTACACTTTACATGTGGTAATTCTTTGCAAACGTGTTACTTATAGATTTTTTAAAAATCCCTATCGCACTTTTTTTTGCGCAGTTTTCCTTTGCGCATTTTTTGTCGCTCCCTAACACAACAGTTAAAAATAAGCTCAAATAATAAACCAATGTAAACTAAATATAAAATGTAGTAAGCTGTTGCACTGTCCAAGATTCTTATTATTTTTTTTTACCGAGTTGGTAATGGCGCTCTCGTTGATTTGTTCCGTCGTTTCTTCACAATCTGTCTCGTTTTCTGGTTCGCCGGGTTTTAAGAATTTGATTAGCAGCACAATAAAGAACACAAGGCACATGCCAGTGATGCCGATTAGAACGCCGGAGATGATTTTACTGTCAGGGTTATCTGTGTCTAGAAATAATTAATAATAATGGTGATAGGTTATTCCTCTTTTTTTTAAAGTGGAAAATTACCTTTACTACACACGAAGTGGTCTACCGGTAAGAGAGCTGGACTGCTAACCCGTAAGTCTCGAGTTCGAATCCGGGTTAAAGTCAGTAGACCGCCCCTGAGTCCACCCAACTCTGATGGGTACCTGACTCACGTAACGGAAAGTAAAGGCGGCTGGGTATAGTGATGACAACACTCTCTCCTCATATGACGAGTTCACAGAAACGAGTGAACTCTACTTCACTTGCCCTATAGACCGTCAGGTTTGAAAGGGAACTTTACATTTACATCCAAAAAACCTTCTGTTCGTCTGTTCGTCCGTCCGCCTACTCACCCACCCACACATGTCTTAAGGGTTAGCAATCGTGCGCTGTACCAACTACGCCGTCGCATTAGAATTAGATGCAATTGAAGACAAATGAGTGATTACACATTCAATACATTTCAGCTTACAAGACCAGCTGTTAAACACTGCTAACATATTTTAACACAGTGTGCCTATGGATTTCTTGTTACCCATTTAGCTGAAATATCTATCTTGTGTCAGTCAAAGATGTCGCGAGAGGGGGGGGGGGTGCGAACCTCACCGGGTGACACCAAGGATAAACATTGCAAAATTTACATAATAGAAATGATTTTTGACAGATCATTTAATAGTTAAATAATTTTTTACATGCACATTGATAGGGGGGGGGGGCTTGCTAACTATAGAGGAAACAATGCTGTATTAATAACCGGCTTCAGATAGACATCGTTAGTATTAAGTGCGCACAGAATAAAATTATCACCTTGGTGGGTGGAGGGGGAGCACCAATTGTAAAATTTAAAAGGGAAATAAGTTTTGTTAAACATTTTCAATAACTGATACGTCAATCAATCAACGACCGGGTGAGGGTGAGACCACATGTTATAATTTACTGTGAAGAAGATGTTGTTTTTTTCTTTAAATTAATAAGTGAATCAATATACTGTGTGCCAAATCGGCGCCATTACGCAACAAGGGAAGAAGGAGTGACACCAATCACAACTTTTAAAGACAAGCACTGGACTGATCAGAACAAAATGAAAGGTAAAGAGCTTCTAACGGGTTCAGCCGTTGGAAAGAAAATCTCTTTGATCACTATAGAATTCAAATAGAAGTCGTAGTTCACCCCCAAAGTGGGTTGCTTTAAGAATTTTAAATACACCCACACAAAAAAACGGCATAAAAATGCATATGAACATGCTTATGCACATGCATACACGGTGTATATGGCATATATTTTAACTATATGCCTACACATACACACATAGGCCTACACACACACACACACATATATATATATATATATATATATATATATATATATATATATATATATATATATATATATATATATATATATATATATGCCTAGGGGGTTGACACAATGAGGTGCCATACCGGTTGACACCCGACCTAGCGACACTACTGGCGATGACATTGGGATTACAATGAGTAGTAGAATGATGAATACAGATAATTAACTTAATGTTTGACAACATCCACAGGAAATGGATGATGGTAGCAATGATTCAGGAATGATGGTAGCTATGACTCAAAGAATGTGGTACCTAGCCATCCAGGTCGAGTCCTGTTTAAAATATCTCTTTCGATCCAGTCCCTGCTTATGAGGCTATATCCTGACACCAAGATGAAAACAGAAGACTGTTAGTTGTTTTTGTAAACAAAAAAACAGATAATAGAGAGCAAAAGTAATAGAGAACAGAGATAGCAGCGAACAGGTAGCAGAGAACAGAGATAGCAGAGAACAGAGATAGCAGAGAACAGAGGTAGCAGAGAACAGAGAACAGAGGTAGCAGAGAACAGAGATAGCAGAGAACAGAGATAGCAGAGAACAGAGATAGCAGAGAACAGAGATAGCAGAGAACAGAGGTAGCAGAGAACAGAGGTAGCAGAGGTAGCAGAGGTAGCAGAGAACAGAGATAGCAGAGAACAGAGATAGCAGAGGTAGCAGAGGTAGCAGAGGTAGCAGAGAACAGAGGTAGCAGAGAACAGAGATAGCAGAGAACAGAGATAGCAGAGAACAGAGGTAGCAGAGAACAGAGGTAGCAGAGAACAGAGGTAGCAGAGAACAGAGGTAGCAGAGAACAGAGATAGCAGAGAACAGAGATAGCAGAGAACAGAGGTAGCAGAGAACAGAGGTATCAGAGAACAGAGTACTCGGTCGAGTAAATTTATTTATTTAACCAATATAAACCTGAGACACTCCGCAAATAAGAATACAGAAAGTCTACGCCGTACCCTATGTAAATAAATACAATAAATAATATTAAGAAATAATATATAAATCACCCCTACAACAGCCCCCCCGGCTTCACATCTTAGGCTGTTTAGGCACCATCCCCACCAGACAGAAGAAAGAAACATTCAAATGGGTTTGGCTCAGAGAAGATTTCAAGAAGTTTTTTTATGTAGAAGATTTTAACCAAGTTTTGTTTACAGAAAATGTACAATATTTTAACCAGGTTAGGACCTTGGAAATTACAATAAGCTACGGTACTTTTCATTGAGAGGTCTGTAAAAATGTATCACCAATTTTTTGTTCACTAAATAATTTTTTATTCGAACGAATTAAAGTAAAAATAAAACGTACCTATATCTATTAAATTTGCCAGGCATAAGAGAGTCAAGCACACGCTAAAAAGTTCCATGATGCTTATCTTCTCTTTGTACTCTTTGAGTCTGGTGTGTGGGGAAATATAGGAGACAAAAATAACATTTTCAGGACGTTTAGGGGCCCGCAGCCGACCATAATCAATTTTTTTTACAATTAAAAAAAAATAATCTTCTAGCATTTTTGACTGGATGGTTGGTTTGTAAGAAGAATACTGAAGCTGAGGTTGGATTGTGTTTTTTCTATAGACATGCCTGGAAGAAACTCTGATTGCAAGATTAGCGGAGCCACATTCACTTAGCGAGTCAAATGAATACCTTTATACCTCTAAAAATCCCATTCATTATTAAAATAAATTTTATTAACTCGCAAAAGCTTATGAATGTTCTTTTATTAAAAGGTTTGAGCAATTCCTGACAACAATAAATGATTACAATCAGTATGAAGATTCAATCTACTTTTACTGACCTTAATCCCTTCTGTGGACAATCAGATTCCGTGTTCTAAATCCCCCATTGGTTCTTTTAACTTTTAACAAAATCTGCAACAAACTCAACAGAGATAATCTTCGCACAGCATCAAGAAACTTGTTACAACGTTGTCACGTCATGGGAGGTTTTGTTTTGTACAACATTTTTCTGACATCTATACATCAGGGATTCTCAAAATAATATATATATATATATATATATATATATATATATATATATATATATATATATATATATATATATATATATATATATATATATATATATATATATATATATGTGTGTGTGTGTATATATATATATGTGTGTGTATATATATATATATATATATATATATATATATATATATATATATATTTATATATATATATATATATATATGTGTGTGTGTGTGAGTGAGTGTGTGTGTGCGTGAGTGTGTGCATGTGCGTGGGTGCTTGCATGTATGCGTGGGTGCGTACGTGTGTAGTGTGTGTGTGTGAGAGAGAGTGTGTGTGTGTATGCGGGAGTGTGTGCATGTGCCTACGTGTGTAGTGTGTGTATAGGGAAAAACTGAAACTACCCCTATAACATCTTTTCTACACCACTGATAAATAATGTATGTATATTGTTGTTTGCCAATGGAGATAGGTTTAAGAATTCTTCTTTCAACAACTGAAAGTAACTTTGGTGACTTTTAAAGCTAGACTCGCCAACTTGAGTGTCCAGTTGTGGTAATCTGAGGACCCCCGTGATAACTGCTAGACAGATGGAGCTGATTAACATTAAATTATCGGGTTGCTCGCATCATTTCGTCATTAAATCATCGTGTTCCTTGCGTCGTGTCGTCATTAAATTATCGTGTTCTTTGTTTCATTTTAGTGCTAATTTAAACTTTACCAGTAAAAACACAATTTATATTGCTTGCTGAAAGCATCGGTTTACTATAAAGAAAAGTGTGTGTCGCTTACGCAATGTTATTAAGAGGATTTAATACATAAAACGCTCCACTCTTTTCTTTATGGTTAATTTAATAGTTGTGTACTATGATAATTTTAGAGAAAAAAATTTTAGTTTTCTTCTTTTGTAGGCATTTAAGCATTTGAAAATAAAAGTATGTTTTTATAAACGTTTTATATTTAGTGTTTTAATTATATATTTTTTTACTTTAGTATAATCGAATCCCATAACTTAAAACTAGTAGATTTAGTAAAAAAAAAAAAAAAAAAAACCACTCGCGAATTAAATGAACGCACCGATTTATGGGAAATAACTCAATAAGATAAGTATTTTATAATTTCAATATTTAATTCTTTTTATAGCTCGATTTAAATCTAATTTGTCACGCTGTGTTGTCTCGACCTGCATATCAAGTTTGAAACAAATCTGTTTGATAGAAGTGGTTGAAATTTCACTCGCAAGTTTAGATCCAGGTCGAGGTAAAAGGAACTACATACTGACCGAGAAATCAAATTAAATTAAAGTATGTACAAACGAAGAAACAAAGATGCTATTATGTTTCATCGTGTGCCTTCAATGGCATCCGCCGAGTTTGATGAGAAGCTTACGATCAGTATCGTTGTCATCGATTAATCAGGGATCTCCAAACTTTTCAGTCCGAGGGCCGCATTTACTATCAAATTTCAGTTCGGGGGCCAGTTTCTTCCAGGCATGTCTTTTATTTTTATACGCAAAGTTCCCTAGGCATCACCAACAAACGATTTTTCCTTGGACAAAAAGATCTCCGCGGGCCGGATGAGAGGACTTCGCGGGCCGTATCCGGCCCGCGGGCCGTAGTTTGGAGACCCCTGGATTAAATTAACGTATTTTACGTATTTTTATCTACTTTGCCTGCATAGAGGCAAAGAATACTTCAGAAAATTTCATTAATTTTATATTTTAAGGTTTAATGTTGCAAAAGTTGCAAATGCATAGAAACTAAAATATTTTATTTTAATCTTTATTTCTATTTATTTACATCAGTTAAATTTACATCAATTCAAAATTTTAACTTCACGTTTCACTTGAGTTGAAAAGCTTTGATAAGCATAAAACAGGCGTGTATTTCACATCTGTAAATCCACTTTTTACTTTGCCGGTAATATATTTTATTAAACTTATATCTTTGGTTATGCCATGGTTGTTTACATTTTCTTGTCAATGATACATTGAGAAAAATACAAATTACTTTTGCCTTTTATTATTTTATTTAGTACCGAAAATACTAAATCATCAAATTCGTTCAATTCGTTCAATATATGCTCACAATTTAAAAATAAAAATCAAAGGTGGAGTCCACCACTCTATAATCTGATATCGTACTTAAGATGAAGTCTCGAGTTCAAACCCTCGGGCAGATGAGGCTCGTTAGCTAGGGACAGCCACTCTTCTAGAAGAGACAACTCCAAAATCAAACAACTGCTGCCTTGTAGTTTGTACTTGGTTGGACAAAGGCTATGGAAGCAAATCCAAAAAGAAAAGCAGGCTGAAATGGCCTCAATGGTGCTTAACCAGTTGACACGTATCCTTAATTGTGATGGAGTCGGCAAAAGCTCATGGTTGATAAAATTCGAAAAAGTCTCGAGTTCAAACCCTCTGGCAGTTAAGGCTCGATCCCTTCCAACACTAAAAATTTAGAACGAAGAAGAAGAAAGTACTTAAGATTTCTTCTTCTTCGTTCTTAATTTTAGTGACATTTGAAAGTAAAGTAAATATTCCTCTCTAGACCTAGCGATCTATTAGGCAGAGTAGAGTTTATATGTTTCTTGACCTCGGCATATGAAGAGATAATGTGGTCAGTATTATGCCCAGCATTATACCAATTTTCTTGACCCAGCCGCCTTTACTTTTCCTAACGTTAGTTAGGTACCCGCATACCCTTCAGAATTGAAAGGATTTCCCCTACAATCGTGATATCGAAATAAAGTAACCATGTGATAAAGGCAATCACGTTTATATTTTATTCGCTGTCTTGATGTTCTTTGTTTGAAGTGAGTATCGGGTGTCACAATATTAGCGTCATGAACGGCTCGTTTTCTTCACGATTCTGCACAAATCGATGTTTTTTTTTTTTTTTTTTTTTTTTTTTACAATTGGCTTTTGGTGAAGAACACAGAGCGTTTTAATGAAGCCTAAAGTCATTTAGATATGTTGGTTTATGCGTATTTGATGCTTTCAAATTTGCTGCGTGATTGACATTAATGTACATTTTCAACGTGAGTGACCATAAATTATGTAGGCCTACATTTATAGCGCGATTGACGTCAACAGTCAAATGATGTACATTTACTGCGCGATTGAAATTAATTGATATACATTTGCTGCGTGATTGATACTGAAAGTAGTATTTGTAGGTTTAGGTAAACGATCACAAGATACATGGCAACCATTGAAGGTTTTTTTTTTGTTTTTTTTTAATCCGGAGCAGAGGCCAGTGGAAGTAGCAAAGATATGGTGCTAAAAATCCAGATAATTGTATTAGACAGGTGTTCTAAATATGTCGTCTTGCGAGTGGTCTATCCCAGTCCCGTTGAAATACAAGAGAGACATAACAATGGCTTGGTCGGGGGGTTAGGTCTATAGCCTAAACTAGAAATCCAAACGAAAACAGAAAACGTGCTATTCAAAAACACATTGCAAGTAAACTCGAGGCACATAAAGCAAATACAGGACGAACTTGGAATCAACTGGACAGAATACCCCCCCCCCCCAAAAAAACAACCAAATGGCAGCTATCCCGTGCAGTGTTTCGTTTTTTCTCCGGGGGGGGGGGGGGGGGCACTTAGTATTTTAAGGGGGGGGGGGGGCGAACACTAGTTAGAGCATATATTGTCCATATGAATTCTATTTCGTTCGGGTGGGAGGGGGCGGTAAACATTTTTCGGGGTAGAGGGTCGGAGGTTGGAAGAGATACCTGGAAGAAATTCTGGTCCCGTGTTAAGTTACTGCTATTACAGACGGCGCGATCGTGTCATTTTCAATGCTTTCTGTAATAGATTGAGTTAATTGTGAGGTCAAGGGAACTCACTCTCTGTATTAGTATTATATTTATATTGTTATCTTGAGTGATGTCCCTTACATGTTGTTATCTATATATAGTTCTCTCTCGCCATTTCTCTCTCTCTCTTTGCATCATAGCGTCTGTACATAATAAAGACTGTTAACAACCAACGCGGCTTCTCGTCAGTCATTACAATCTACCTCATTTGGCGACGAAGGATAAACATCTACTAGAAAGAGCACCTACTTACGCAAAAAAGAGGTTTGCTAGAGCTTATTAGCTAATTATTTCTAGAATTATGGCGCTGTATGGCCAAATAAAAGAATTTGATGCGAATGATGAAATCATTCAAGATTACCTAGAGAGGTTAAGCTTTTACCTAGAAGCTAACGACGTGACGATAGAAGCCAAAAAGAGAGCTGTTTTGTTAACAGTCATAGGGCCTCAACAATTTAGGCTACTAAAGGACTTATGCGCACCAGCTAGTCCAGATACCAAGAGCTTTAACGAGCTGAGCAAATTGCTAACAGACCACCATGCGCCTACCCCATCAAAGTTTCTATGTCGAGCTAGATTTGACAGTAGGACTCGTCAACCAAACGAGTCAATATCAGAATATGTTGCTGCTTTACGTCATTTAAGTGAATTTTGTGAATTCGGAGACACGCTGTCTGACAGATTATGTGAAAAGTTTGTGACAGGTGTAAACAGCCCTGATATTCAAAGAAAGTTGCTGCTCGAGTCAGATCTAAAATTGGAAAAAGCAATACAACTTGCAAATTCATACCAGCAGTCATCAGATGCGGCGAAATCTCTTACGCCTTCAGGGATCCATGCAGTAAACAGCAGGTTAGTCAATAAACATCAACCCCAACAGAGCATTCCAACTTATGCTAAACACCCTGCTCGTTCAAATCCTAGATCTAAATCTAGTAATAATTATCAAATATGTCATCGATGCAGGGGTCCCCATGCATCTCATCGGTGCAAGTTCAAGTCTGCAACTTGTTATAAGTGCGGTAAGCAAGGTCACATTGCCAAGGCCTGCTTTGCAAAGTCTTCGTCTGTTGCTAAATCTAGCCAGTCAAGA